TAGGAGCAAGGACGCAATCTCGACCATGAGTGCCTATGATGGCCATGAGTGCCTTGGGACACTAGGAGCAAGGACGCTACTAGGGGCTCCTGGCCTTACTAGGAACAAGAAGCTACTAGGGGCTCCTGGCATCGCTACTAAGAACAAGGACGCAATCTCGACCATGAGTGCCTATGATGGCCATGAGTGCCTTGGGGGGCTACTAGGAACAAGAAGCTACGAGGGGCTCCTGGCATCGCTACTAGAAGCAAGGACGCAATCTCGACCATGAGTGCCTATGATGGCCATGAGTGCCTTGGGGGTACTAGGAGCAAGGACGCTACTAGGGGCTCCTGGCATCGCTTCTAGGAACAAGGACGCAATCTCGACCATGAGTGCCTATGATGGCCATGAGTGTCTTGGGGGGCTACTAGGAGCAAGGACGCTACTAGGGGCTCCTGGCCTTACTAGGAACAAGGACGCTACTAGACCCCGAAGGCGAAACATCAGGAAGCACCTCCCTGTCCAGTCTTTGTAGCTGGTCTGCACTAAGACCACGAGCCGCTGCTGTGACATTTGAATGTCTTTCAGTGGCTTGTGCCACCATTGGTCATCTTCAGACCTTGGCATCTGTGGATAGGTTCCAGACTCCTCTGGACTCTTTGGAGTGCATATAGAAAGTGTTCTATAAAAATCTCGAATTTAATGCACTGGATGACACGGCTCGCAGCTTTCTTTGCAGGCACCAAATGTTGTTCTACAACACTTCGTTTCGTATTGGACAAGAAGTTTTGGAAGGCTCTTTTCTGTGTTCTGGATTTGGAAATGAGCTCTCAAGGGGGATCAAAACAAAACGCCTCAGGATGAATTGCCGCAAACCGCTGGACAAGCTGCATATAAGGCCGGAGCTCCTGTTCCAGTAATGACCTTAGAGCCTCTAGCCTGGCCATCGTCACATCATGGCTTGGCCCTTTAGCCCAAAGCTTGGATTTGAAGTGTTCGAGCTTCAGCCGCAAAATCCTTACAGCGTGGAACACCCAAGCTGCCGTGTGCATGGCAGGCATACAGCATATAAAATATAAAACAGCAACAATGTAGTGAAAACATGTCAAAACCACACGTTCTTTGTTTCAGTGATGGTGTAGCCCCAGGATCACGACCTGCTGCCTTCAACAACAAGCACAGCAACAACCACCACAGGGGGGGGAAATCTACAACCCAACCAAGTGTCACAACTTCGCGCTGGAGCACATCCTCCTTGAGGAAGCTCTGTATGTCTGAGGACAAGGTCGACAAAGACGGTCCCAAAAGGCAGTGATGAGCCTGCCCACGGCGAGCCAAAATTGCCTTCCCCCAGCCACAACGATGCCTTACAAAGTTTGCTCGACACAGCTGCTGTCGTGCTGTGACGGTCATATGAGTCATCGGGATGTCATTGGTGAGCACTGTCTAGCAGGTATGGCAAAGCATGATTGCGGAATTAGGTGAGCGATCTCCTTCATGCTTCCTCTAATTCAGAGTTGATCACTGACCACACGCCCGTCCTTCCAGCACTGGCCGGACACCGTAGCAGCATCGTTGCAGCCTTTTTTCCAACCATCCACGGTCAAGCGCAAATCGAAGTATCCTAGGTACAGGACACCATCCTGCCTGCTGGCAGCGCATCAGCAGTTGCATGCAAGTTTTGACTCTTGACAATATGCACCCAACACGATCCAGGACTGTTATAGTGACTTGAACTACAAAAACTAAATTTGTAAACTATATACATCACGGCATATCACGGCAGTTGCCTACTATATAAACGAATACCACCCCAGCACCTTCAATACACCATTGCCCTCAGGGTCCGCAACAACAACTGCGCGTTTAGCTTCTATGTCTGTGTCTGCTCCTGGTCCTGGTCTGAAGGAAGCAAGTCAGGGGCCAAGCCTTCCACCACAGGGAATACAGGCCAAAGCCATTCAAAACCAACCTCCTCTCACCAGTCGGCCGCTGATCCATTTAGCAGATCATTTGCTCCAAAGAAACTCTACCCGCCTTGAGCTGCCACACCTGAGCCCAAAAATTCAGCCGAGGGTCTCACGCCGGAGCGCAGCTGCTCCAAAAGTGAACCTGTGACACAATGACAGTTGAATGGCAGGGGAGGGCGGTAATTACATCCTGCTCATGCCCAATCTGCCCAAGGCAAGTCCAGCAAAGGACATACAACCAATAGATAGCGAGTCGCGAGTACAACAGCAACTGGTTCAAGAGGTGAAGGTCTCCTTTCACCAGCAACTCTACTAACGATGGAACCAATACCCGCTGAAGTGCCACGCTGACCTCCTTGAGCCAAACCCCATTGTCGGCTGCTGATGGGAGCGAGTTGGCAAGCGTGGCACCGAGGGCCACATTGCGCAGCTCTGTCGCTCAACCTGGAGGACTTTGGAGAACCATGGTGGCCGAACAGCGTGACGTGCCATGACGTGCATCATGAGGTAGAGAGGAGGCCTCGAGACCTCTTTTATCATCTTTTCTATCGCTAGGGCCGCTAGGGTTAGCATAGTTCTAGAACCTGTGGCATCTACTGTGCAGCCCTGGGGCTGCCAAACGTCATCCAAGCTCCAAGGCTGCACATATCGCGTCAAATTAGAGCAAGTAGCTCGAGTCTAATTTGAGCAAGTAGCCAATAAGCTGCGGCATCATGAGTGCCAACCACGGTCAGATCGAGCATCCTGCGGTCTTCTAGGCATCCAAGATTTGATAGAATACCTGGGCACAAGGAGAAAGCTGTAGATGTAAGTCTCAGTTTACTGCATCTCACCCGGTTGGGCTGTTGGGCCAGGCACCCATCCATTGTGCTGGCTCGGCCAAGGCTTTCTCCAGCGCATCGTCCGGGCAGGCCAAGGAGAGCGTAATGTGCAGCCATAGCCATCGCATGACCCAAATGAATGTGGGTGAATGAGTGTGACCAGCGTTCGTGGACTTAGTGAAGTAGGGTCTGAGATGGTCTGAGGGTCTGCCAATGTAGCTCAAGCAAGGTGATGACTGTTGATGACAACATATCCACTGACTGAACGCTGCTGCCTAGGTTGGCGTTGGGTGTTGCATAGCGCGTGTGCGATGCTGCAGGTGAGTCCAGTGTCTGATTCTGACCAGCAATCAAATACACCAAAAAAATCAACTCCTACATAGACATAAACTTGAGGAGCCTCTCAACTTTCAACAACTCTCAACTCCTTTCAGAAAAGTCGGTCCTCGCTCAAGACGTTCCAGTGCAAGGTCAGTAGGCTCCAAAGAAAGACCCCGCGCAAGGGCCAGGTCAAGGCCTCCACGGGCCACACATTTCTCTGTACAATGTCATCATGTCTCTGCGTATGTTTCTGATTTGCAGTGACATGCAGTGACTGGCGACCAACCCACCAAGTTGGTCACCAGCTCATCTGAGGTGCCAACACCGCCAATACCAGTTGTAACTATCAATTTTACAGTCTGCTCATCATCCCACAATCATCCCATGCAAAACTGAATGCCAATGCCTTGTGCGATGTGACTTACGAAAAGTGCTGATGGTTCAATGCGACTTGCCTTGCTCCACACGCATGAGTGCGTCTTCATCAACGGTCCGGTGTATCACCTGCGAGCAAGACCGGGCCCTAAGCCTCAAAGCTTGTGTTTCAACCACTGACAACATATATACAAAAAACGGTGTCCCAACAGCATTCAACTGGATTCTTGACAGTGTTGAGTTGTCTTGACCTATTTATTGGATCTCTTGAAGTCGTCCGCAAGAGATGAATATCCTCAGGCTCCGAGACCTCAAAGCCTTCAATTCTTCCAAGCTATGTCCGCATATGTCCGCGTTTGCACGCCTCCAGTGACTGATGAAGCTCCAAGTCCTGCTCCTGGTTTGGGTCAAAACAGGCCACCCGAGGTCAAATCAAGGACCCGGCAAAAATCTGGGGCGTGCTATCACCTATCTGACTACCTGGCAATATACATCATCCTTGCGGAAAGGCACCAACCCAAATGCGACTACTTTTTGAATCCGGAAAAGGTCCAATGAACCTAAGCTAAGACTCAAAGTGCCTCATGGTTATATGACAGGGCACGCGCTGTTTCGAACATCGTAACCATTCATACCCATGGGAAGCCTCGTGACCCTCCTCGGAATCCGTGATCTCCAAAGCCGCCATCTGGACAGTTGCGCATCGCTCAACTGGCTCTCATAGTATCAGTGGAATCGTTCCAACAAAGTTGGCAAACAACAAAAATCCGCGACAATGATTGACAGCCACCGCGAAGCTTATAACCGGAACACCGGGTTATAGTATGTGTAAAAAAATATATATAAGCATAGTCAGAATGCCTTGTGGGCATGAACGTGATTTGTTGCATGATTCCTCAATATAGTTTCCCGGTTGTCCACTTTCTGTTGACACCTCAGCCTTGATGAGGTACTGCGAGGGCCTGGACGACAGGTGGCAGTGGTTGATGGGATCAAGGAACCACAAAGGGGTCATTCTTCGCAAGCTTTGAGATCTTTGTCTCTACCTATCTCCATTGCCATCCATCAGGTTCAGCCAGCTTGAGAAAGAGCCAATGATTCAATGCATGGCTTTGTTTTCCAGCATGTGCAGGCTCAAAGCCGTATCATCAAATAAGGACATGCACCAAAAACAACTGGACTAACACTCTAGAAACACATGCACTGATATGCACTGCACCTCAATCACTTAGTTCTTGACTTTAGGTGGGCCAAGCTGCTCGTTCTTTGGGCCCCAAACGCGCCCATTCCGCCCTCCCGGGCCTGGAAAGCCGGACCCGCATGACATCGCCAAGGCTCATGGCCTGGATGCCACCGCAGTAGTAGTACAAGACAAAGCGCACCTTGTGACCGGCAGGAAGCACCACACAGTCCGGCCCGCGTAGGGAGTAAACGGTTCATTGTCCTTCATGTGAAACAACTCGTTTCAGATGATTCATATGCACATCATTGTAAAACTCCATCATTGGAAACCATTGATCATTGATATTTGTTGGTATCGTTTTAGTGAGATGGTGTGGAAACTGAGAACATCCCCAGCAATAACTATTTCGACTTTTCTATTCCTTGTGCTTCGGGTTTGGAGCACACACAGAAGAAAAAGGAAACAGGATGAAACAGGTACAATCAGGTGCAGTACATTCCTTCCGATTCAGTGATTCACCAAGGGGCCCATTTGAGGCAAACCTTGATGTTCACCTCGTCCAGCTCCAGCTGCTTCACGTGAAGGCGCCTGAGATCTAAACATTGAGTAAAAAGTGTGTGCTTCGTGCGCTCGAAATCAGAAATCTGTTTTTATGTGGTTTTAGTGCACATGGCCTGTGCATGCCTGTGGCACAGATTTCTCAGCTGTTTGGGATGTCGTCGGTGCAAAACCGGTTGATTCACACAATGACATAGACCTTCCGCATTGCTTGTGCAAAGCACTGCTTGCCTCAAACTCCAAGAGGTGAGTCTTCACGGTAGAACATTTAACATCAAATATTGCGATGGCCTGCAACCTAGTATATAGCTTCTTGTTACTAGTAGCGATGGCCTCCAACCTACTTGCGATGGCCTCCACACAATAGCGATGGCCTCCAACCTAGTA